GAGCCCGTCGCGTCGCCCCGCAACCCGCGCGCGGCCCTCGCTGCCCCGTCGCGCCGCCCTGGGGAGCCGCTCGCGGCCCCCCGCTGCCCCGTCGTGGTGCCCTGGGGAGCCGCGCGCGGCCCTCGCTATCCCGTCACGGCGCCCTGGGGAGCCGCGCGCGGCCCCCGCTGCCCCGTCGCGACGTCCTGGGGAGCCGCGCGCGACCCCCCGCTGCCCCGTCGCGGCGCCCTGGGGAGCCACGCGCGGCCCCCCGCTGCCCCGTCGCGGCGCCCTGGGGGCCGCGCGCCGTCCCCCGCGCTGCTGCCCGCGCTCCTGCCCCGTGCTGCCCGTTTTAGGGTTTGGGGGTGGCGAGTGTGGGGGTGGCGGGTATGGGGGTGACGGGTGTGTGCGCCGTCCCCTGCTCCTCCTCCTCTTCCGTCTCCCACTGCTGCAGCTGCCGCTGAGGGGGGTGGGTGTGTGGGAGCCGAGGGAGTGGTGCTAGGGGAGTGACGTGGGAGTGGAGCTAGGGGTCCAGCAAGGGGTGTGTGAAAGGGGGGTGGGACAGTTGGGGGAGGTTGAGCGGAGGCTGCCGTCTTGTTGTCCGCAGCACCTGTAGTCCGGGGCTCTGCTGCTGGTAGCTCAGAGAGCCTGCTGCGCCTGTCGCCCGTGGGTCCGTTGCTCCTGCCGCTCAGAGTTACTCCTGTAGTCCGGGGCCCTTGCTCCGGTAGCCACCGTGCGCGCCGCTCCTGTTGCCCGTGTGTCTGCAGCTTCAGCTGTCGCCTCCTATCTCCTCTCCTCTCACAGTCCAGCCTCCTCCTCCTCACTTGCCCTTTGTGTATGCCTCTAGCTTTGCTTGTACTGGTGAACCTGCTCTATGACTGCTTGCTCTGCTGATTATACCCCACTTTGACTATGGGGGTGTGTCAGAATGTGTAATTTGTCTAGCCTGCAGTGGGGTACTCTATAGTGAGTACGGCCCCTTAGGGTTTCCCATATGTATCCACCTGCTTGCTAGTAAACCCTCTTCTTTGCCTATTTTCTCTTGCCTAGCTAGCTAAACCCTAGCTATGGCTCCTCGTTATGCCTGTTATTCTGACACATCTGCCATCACTGCAACTGCTGCCTGTTGCAGGCACGCCCCTGGAGGTGCTGAGCCGCTCTGTCATGCTGCTCGTTGCAGCCACGGCGCCTGCTCTCACGCCCACCGTTCGTGTCCTGCACCTGCCGTTGTTGCATTTCTCATGGCTGATATGTGTTGCTGTTTCCCCTGCTTCTTCTACCCCTCAGTGGCTTCACAAGCTCATACCGCAAGCATGTTAAGGGGGTGTGACTTACTCTAGCTGTGTGCTGTAGGCAGTTAAGGGGGTCTGTCACGATATATATGTATATATATATATATACCTGCCTGTAGCTTTAGCTTTAGTGTAGTTATGTTTCCTTGCTATTGGTGTCAGAATCAACAAAGGATGAATGAACTAGAAAAGGGGTGGGTACAAGTAGCAAAACCTAACTTTGTTGTACCCCATAGTAACTACCCCACTACAGCCTAGACACCTGTAGAGTATATGTTTGACACACCCCCATAGGCAAAGTGGGGGAGAGCAAGGGGTCACAAGACCAGTCAAGAACAGCAAAGCAAGCCCACGGTGGATCACAACGTCACCCCGCAGTCTGAGCACAAGCAGATGGCCACAAGGCCAGTTCACATGCATAGTTATATAGCATAGAACAAACAAGACAGTGATCAAAACCTAGCAAGTAAAGACATGCAGGTATAGATATATAGATCACAGTACAAGCAAAGTCAAGAAGTGAGCAAGTGAGGCAAGGTAGGCACAAGGCCTAGAACAGTACATAAACGCTGATGATCACAAGGCGGAAGTGCCTTGGTGAAGATATCAGCAGTGTTGGCCCGAGAGGCCACGTAAGCAAGACGAAGCTGACCACGCTGCTGCAACTCTCGAGCAAGAAAGTAGCGAAGAGCAATGTGCTTCGTTCTGTGCTCCAGTCTGTGCTCCTGACACAAGGCCAGCATGGCCTTGTTGTCGACGTACAGATTTGGAGGAGAACGAGGCGGCTCTCCCAAGTCGGTCAGCAGGTAGGTGAGCCAGCGTAACTCCTGTGCAGCCATGGCCCCTGCGTAGATCTCAGCCTCACAGCTGGAGCTGAGAACAGAAGACGAGCGGGTAGACCGCCACGAAACAGAACCGGAGCCAAGGCTGAAGGTGTAACCCTGTGACGACCGCTGCGTAGCCAAGTCGTCAACCCAAGAAGCGTCTGCGTGACCAGTGAGGACAACTCTAGCCCGTCCTCCAAGCACGAGCCCCATGCCCGACGTACTGCGCAGGTAGCGCAACACCCTCTTAGCTGCATCCATGTGCTCCTTCCTGTGTCGGCCAGGAGCAACATAGCGTGCTAGAATGCTAAGAGGGTAGGCAAGGTCAGGTCGAGTGCAGGTCATCAGGTACATGAGGCAGCCCACAAGCTCTGGATACGGGCCAATCGGCTCTACGGACTCGTCCGAAGGTGGAGCTGAGAGCGAGTGACCGGTAGGCAGAGGAGTGGACTGTGGCGAGGAGTACGTGAAGCCGAAGCGCTGAAGGACCTGCTGCACCATGTGTGACTGAGTCAAGGTAATGGTGCGCTGTGCTCTGTCCCGGGTGATCCGCAAGCCAAGATAGCTTGTCAACTCACACAGGTCTATGCACGTGTGTCTCTTCTGCAGCTCCGACTTCACGTGGGCGAGTGCCTCAGTGTCAGCAGTAGCGAAGACCAAGTCGTCTACGTACACGAGAACGTAGAACGGCGGCAGAGTGGTGTCGGTGCGTAGAAACAGCGACGGGTCAGCAGTAGAAGGAGCAAACCCAAGAGCCGCAAGCGTAGTCCTCAGTGTGTCGTGCCACTCACGGGGCGCCTGGCGGAGACCGTAGACTGGCCGCCGGAGGCTCCACTGGGTACCAGGAGGAAACGACCCAGTGAAGCCAGGTGGGCGGCGCAGCCAGATCTCCTCGTGCAGGCTGCCCTGTAGGAAAGCAGTGCTGAAGTCAAGAGAGTGAAGCTCGTAGTCACGCTGAGCAGCGACGTGCAGCAGAACCCGAAGAGTGGTCATCTTCGGGGTCGGGGAGAAGGTCTGGAAGAAGTCAACTCCCTGTCACTGACTAAAGCCTCGAGCAACGTAACGCGCCTTGAAGACAGGCGGAGAACCTGACGGCCGCTTCACCCTGAAAATCCACATGCCACTGACGATGTTCGCCCCAGGTGGGGGAACCTCGTCGACGTAGGTGCCTGTGGACTTCCAGGAAGCCATCTCTGCGTCCATGGCTGACTGCCACTGAGAGGAGTAGGGACCCTCTATCGCCTCTGCGTAAGAGCGCGGGGTCGGGATGTCTGGTGCATCCGGGTCTCCCTCAGGGGCAATCAGCATGGACACGAGATGAGGTAAAGCAGCGGCAAAGCACTCAAACTCCTCCTGTCTGTCCTCAAGGACGTCCGTGCCAAGAGCACACTCACCCCCGACGGACGGAGGACAGACAGACTCAGACTCAGCAACAAGGCTAGCGGCGTAGTCTAGACGACAGGCGGCAGCAAAGTCAACAAGCTCAGCAACTAGAGCAGACGCAGCAGTGGACTCAAAGGAAGGGTCAGTGACAACAGTGGCTAGGAAACGCGTGACAGTAGGACTGGCAGCACGAAGGGAGTCAGACTCCGGGTCCGGACCGTCAGGAAGAGAGGACGCAGGAGGAGACGGCAGAGGGACACGATGTGGAGCAGTAGAAGGACGCAGAGTCATATAGTGAGTGCCAGGGACAGGAGGAGGACGCTCACGTGGAACACGATGACCAGTGCGAGCAGCACGAACAGGCGACGCAGGACGAGACTCAGGCTCACGACGCTCAGTAAGACCTCCGGTCGGACCAGTGTAAGGAGAAGGAGCAGGCAGTGGGGAGGCAGGCTGTAACTGTGACTGCGACTGGACAGGCGGTGGACACTCTAAGGAAGGAGCAGGACCAGTAGAAGGCGGGAGACCAAGAACCTGCTGAAGGAGCGGAACGAAGTACGGCCGCGGTCGCGCAGCGCCTCCAGGACCAGCAGAGACAGCACCCGCACCCCCAGCGGCAGCTCCAACTCCTGCAGCACCACCAGCAGCTCCAGCAGGGCCAACTCCAGTACCCCCAGGAGCACCAGCTCCAGCAGCACCGTCAGCTCCAGCACCTCCAGTAGGACGAGCGTCAGCGCCGCCAGCTCCAGCCCCTGCAGCACCACTAGCTCCAGCACCAGTAGCACCTCCAGAAGCTCCCGCTCCAGTAGCACCAGCACCTCCAGCAGCTCCAGTAGCACCTCCAGTCCCAGCAGCTCCAGTACCGCCAGTACGAGCACCTCCAGGACCAGTCGCTCCAGCACCTCCAGCGCCAACCCCAGGGTCGACAGCCACACCAGCACCAGTAGCTCCAGCACCCTCAGCTCCAGCTCGAGTAGCACCCCCAGCTCCCACAGCACCACGTCGGCGGCGACAGTGCCGAGAGTACCACTCACGCAGCTGCTGGGACGAGGGAGCGCCCCCAGGCGCAGTACCCCGGGCTCAGGACCTCCAGGCTCAGTACCCCCAGTCACAGCACCCCCAGGCTCAGCACCCCCTGTCTCAGCACCTCCAGGCTCAGCACCCCCAGTCTCAGCACCCCCAGTCTCAGCACCCCCAGGCTCAGTACCCCCAGTCTCAGCACCCCCAGTGTCAGCACCCCCAAGCTCAGCACCTCTAGGCTCAGGACGCTCAGGCTCAGTACCTCGCGCAGGACCAGAGTCGACAGCTACCTCGACAGGCTCGACCGGGTCTACCTGGGAAACACCTGAGGGAGCAGGACCCTGGTGAGGTAGGGGGTCTACCGGAGGAGCACCTGGCGTGAGGAAGAGCGGCGGAGGGGGGAGCGGGGCAGTGCGGTAGGGGAAGAGACGGTAAAAGGGACCGATTCGTCAAACGTGACGTCCTGAGAGGGGAAGACACGGCGCGAGGTGGGGTGGTAAAACTACCAGCCAGGCGCGTCAGGGACAAAGCCGAGGAAGACACAAGGAACGGCGCGGGAGGAGAGCTTGTCCGCGGACGTATCGCGGACAAAGGCACGAGATCCCCACACCCAGAACACCGACGCATCGCCAGCCTCTCCCGTCCAACGCAGTGTTGGCGAGGTCTCCGGAACGGAGACACGGGGCCAGAGGTTGAGCTGATGCGCGGCGTACCTGACCGCAAACGGCCACAGAAAATGGGGGGCAGCCGCATGGATCAAGGAGGTATGAGCGACCTCCATGACCAAGCCAATGTGGCGCTCAGCAACCCCATTCTGCTGCGGAGAGGCCGGAAGCGTGAACGTCTGCTCAATGCCCTCCCCCTGACAGAAGGCTCTCAATAGGCCGGAGGAAAACTCACCACCTCTGTTAGAGTGCAGTCGCAAGACGGGAAGGTCCGTGCGAAAGCGCCTCTCCAGCTGGAGACGGGTAGCGCGGATCCAAGGGATCAAGACATCAGGGACCTCTCCCTTGGTGCGCAAGGGGAAGACCGTGGTGTAACGCGTGTAGTCGTCAACTACCAGCAGGAAGTAGCGCTCTCCGCCCTGTCCACGGACGCGGGCTAGGCCCCACACGTCCATGTGAAGGGTCTGTAGAGGAGCCTCCGTCGGGGGGAACTCAGAGGAGTGAGGGGCGGCACGCTGCCGCCCCTCGACACAGGGAAGGCAGGGAGGGGCAGGGGACGGTGGCAGGGGAGGCAGTGACCTGGGGAGACCAGAGACAAGGTAACGGGAGTGCATGCCACGAAGGCGCTGCATCGAAGGGTGACCAAGGCGGTGGTGCCAGAGGACCGTCCGGTGCGACAAGGTGCGACACGAACAGGGGGCTGACAACTGACCTGACGCAGACGCAGACGCAGCTACCTGAGGGGACTCAGTGGTCAGTGTGTACAGGTCCGACCCCGGCTGCCGAGTGAAGGTAGACAGGTGACGAACCGTCTGAGCACACGTGCAGTGTGTCACACGCTCATAGGCAGGGGTGAACTGGTGAACACCCGCGTCCTGGAGTGCGGAACCCGCCACCAAGTTCGTAGAGAACGAGGGGAGGTAAAGACCCGACAGTGTGCCGGACGGGACAGCAGGACAAGGGAGGGCAGTGGTGGAGGTCGCAAGGACCGGACCCCCGGAGGGGTCAGCCAGGGAGACAGCAACAGGCCTAGGGAGCTGCGCTAGGGCAGTGCGGTCGCGAAAGAAACAGCGGGAAGCACCTGAGTCCAGTGTGAAGGTGTGCAGTGCCTCAGTAGACGCAGTACCTGAAGGCGCAGACTCACAAGCACCTGAAGCAGCAGACTCACCAGCACCTAGAGCAGCAGCCTCACCAGGACCTGGGGCAGCAGACACACTAGCACCTAGAGCGGCAGCCTCACTGGTCTCAATGCCCGGGTCGGGCGGGACACACAGGTAGCAGTCACCCTCAACACTAATAGTCAATGCATACATGGCACCAAGGATAACATCAAAGTCAAGAGCAAAGATATCAATGTTCTTTTTAAGCAGATCAGCCCAGCGGGGCAGCTCAGAGGCCTCAGGGAACTGCGCACGCCAGGCGTCGTCGAGACGGGAGAAGCAGCGCTGCTGCGTGTGGGGCCTCCCACACGTCTGACCAGCGCGGTCACCTGTGCGGATGACATACGGGCAGGTACCTCCACCCCCAGACCCCCCATGCTGAGAGTACCACTCACGAAGCTGCTGGGGCGACGGGGTCTCTCCGTGACGCTGCTGCTGGCGCTGGACACCACCCGAACCTCCACGCTGCGCCGGTCCACCCCGACCACCACCCCAGCCGCCGCCACCACGCCCACTGCCGCCCCCACCACCGCCTCCACCCCGGCCACCTCCACCACTGCTGCCGCCACCACCCCCGCGGCCGCCACTAACTCCCCCAGCCCCACCACCGCCCCCACCACCGCCACTGCCACCACCACTGCCTCCCCCGCCGTCACCCCCACCACCCTTGCCCCCCTTGCCCTTGCCGCCCTTGCGCCTCCCACTAGGAGCAGACGCAGCCCCGACTTCCTCAGCACCAAGGTAGTCGACAGCAGCAGCAGAGGCGACAGAGGGGAGAATGGGGACAGGGGAACACCCCTCAAAGAAAGGCGTGCGGGGGTCGCTACGAGAGGCACCTACAGCTACTATGCTAGCCTCAGCTGCAAGCAGGTGCTTCTCGAGCAGGTCAACGGTGAGCTCAGTGGGGCAGAGGGCGAGAAAGTGGTCCCTGACTGCGCGAAGAGAGTCAGGGAGGTGGGTGACGAGGTGGTAGAGAGTGAGATACATCGGTGGGGGGTTCTTGGCGAGAAACTCAGCAGGAAGGGCAGCACGGTAGTGAGTCTCACTAGTGCGGAGGTGGGTGATGAGGTCAGCGACGGTGGGAAAGGCGGACAGATCGGGGAAAAGATAGGGCAGCGAGAGACGGCCGATCGTAGCAGAGGCAGGTGAGGAGTAGCGCGCGACTACTTCATCGTACAGTGCCTTAGCAGTCTTTTGCTGGCCAAAATGCGCGCGCTCATCTAACGGCAGGTGACTGCGAATGGCTAGGCGAGCGTGAGCGTCACGAGTCTGCCACTGGGAACGAGCAGTACTGTCAGCAGTTTCAGCAGGTGCGGGAGCGGTTCCGGACGCGTGATCATACAGCGAGACATCGTCCTTAGCAGTGATCTGTAGGAACAGGTGGAGGTCGTCGAGCCAAGCATCAAACTGAATGGGACGGCCCTCAGCATCGAAAGAGAGAACGGTGGGACTGGCCATAGTGGCAGCAGTAGCAGTAGCAGTAGGAACAATAGGAGCAGCAGGAACAGCAAGTAGCAGCAGGAACAGGAGCAGCAGTTGCTGCAGGTGGTGCACAGTAGGGCAGCGCGGCTCGGTCAGGGCGGCGCGACTCGGGCAGGACGGCGCGGTGCGTCTCGGGCAGGCAGGGTGGGCCGGCGCGCGGTTTGCGGCTGTGCGAGGCGGCGGCCTACGTGCGGGCGGCGGCCTACGTGAGGGCGGCGGCCTACGTGCGGGCGGCAGCCTACGTACGGGCGGCGGCCTACGAGCGCGAGGCGGCGGCGGGCGGGACGGCCAGCGGGTCGCGGGCTGTGCTAGGGGCCGCGCGAGGCCAGGGCTGGCTGCGCGCGAGCGGCGTCGACTGCGCGGGCGGCTAGCGGGTCGCGCGCACGAGAAACGGGCCGCGCGCGGGCGGTTAGCGGGCTGCGCGCCGCGAAAAACGGGCCGCGCGCGGGCGGCTAGCGGGCTGCGCACGGGCAGCGTGAGAGGGAGGGCGCGCGAGGGCGCACTAGCAGAGAGGCGCACGAGGGCGCGAGGAAGGTAGGGCGCACGAGGGCGCTTCTAGCGGAACGGTGGGCCCTTAGGAACAAGCGGTCCTAGGTTCCTAACCTAGGCTCGTAATACCATGTCAGAATCAACAAAGGATGAATGAACTAGAAAAGGGGTGGGTACAAGTAGCAAAACCTAACTTTGTTGTACCCCATAGTAACTACCCCACTACAGTCTAGACAACTGTAGAGTATATGTTTGACAATTGGTGGTGCACCTCTTGTTTGTGTTTCTCGACTATATCTTGTATGCTTTGCTTTCAGTGAAGCTCACTTGTTTGGTCAACATTCTTGCTACTCCCTTAACCTTGACCCTCGTCACCCGCTTGGCCTAGGCTTCTAAGCCTAGGCCCTAGTTAAACCCGTTTCTAGTTAAGTCAGAGTTGTAACTAATTCAACTTCAAAGGGGTGGGTAGTCGAGTACAGGTAGTAGGCGGCTGTTGAGTATGCTCCATGGGTGGTGTGGAGTTATGTATACAGGAGAATAAGCCTAAGAGGATGCGCGAGGAGGAGCCGCGACTAGTAAATAGGTCGTCAGCCAGTCGTTGACCAGTACGGATAATTCACACCTCGCTCATATCAATAAATCATTCGCGTGCATAATTCAATTACGTGCATAATCCGCTTGAATCTGGAGTTGGGATAATGAAATCCTCCAGCCAATCGCTCTACCCAAGGTTCCATATCCGTTGGTGTGCACAGGGTAATGTCACGCAAAATCGTTTTCATACGTGTACGTGAATTCAAGCCTAAGGGGAAGTGCGAGGACGAGCCGACCAGTAAGGTGAATGGCTCGTCAACCAGTTAGTGACGTCTGTACGCGTAATTCGCACACCTTCCTTCCTATACGCTGGAATGGCGATAATTCAACGCGGCCTAGGAGAAAGGCAATAATCTGACGAAGGCTTAGGAGATAAGTAACTATCGAGAGGGGGAATATGGAGATGCAATAATGCAATCTCCCGCCACTCGCTCCACCCAATGGCCATTCATATCCATTCGTGTGGAGTGGACAGCGAAAGACAAAGCGATTTCTTTTGTTACAGGACACGCATTCGTCCGGCGAGTTGCTTTCGTGAGTTGCGACGAAGGAGGTGGGGAAAAAAATATATCAAACCCCACAGAACCAAACGAAACCGAGCCGGACATGGGCGTTGAAGGTTGTGCTAATTCCCGCGCGTCGCATTGTTTGTTCCAGACGCCTCGTCAGAAATACCGCACCGCACAATCCACTGACCTTTGAATTTCGTAATACCAGAGTTTGATGTCCGAACCGAACTGAACCGAACTGGTCTCATTGCCGATCACAAGTGCAAACTGGCGGTGGCTATGGCCCTACTTAACTTCACGCTCCTCCCTCCCTGACTGACAGACAATCACCACCACCTGTCGAGCTTGTTAGATGAGCATTTCTCCCCTCCGTCAGTTTGCGTTCCGCGGTATCAAACAAGCGAGTCTAATCAAGTAGGGCCACGCGCTCCGTTCCGTCATCCTCTTTCAACGGCTTCGCGGGCCGGGGCACAGGCCCTGGCATAGCTAGCAAAGCTCCTCTTGCGTTACACTGAGCAGCAGGCCTTCATGTTTGTTGAAAGTGGGCGCCGAACATATAAATGTTAGTATCGTTGACCAGCCACGTCGCTGTTCACGTGCCCATCTGGGTCCAATAGCGCTCTGCGATAAGCGTTGACCAGACTCGCTCAACAGCTGGTTGTCGGAGTAGAAATCGCCGAAGCAAGGGAGTTTCACAGCTGATTAACTATCCGCCAACGGGTAGCTTCCGTGATTATAGTAGACACCTATCGTAGCCATGCGCGGAGCGCGTAGTAACTGCCTACCCCACCTTTACTCTCTTAATAACACTTTGCTAAGGCGGTACTAGTACATATCCGAATTCAGCTGTAAATTCCTTGGGCGTTTGTTCATCTTGAAGTACCTGACCGCTCGTACGCTGCGGAGGGTCACTCGACAAAGTAGTGAGATAGACTACGGGGGGGTTGGCACGAACTACTAGGAGTGATCGTAGCTTTGCTTAGTTCCTTAGCGCTTGCACGCTCACGGGAGAAATCGGCAAGAGTTTCCACTAGCAAAGTTTGGATTACTGAATTAATCAACAAGCAATGACAACAATGACTACATCAGGCACCTAACAACTCTGCAGCTAGCCTGGTCGACCGCCAGCACAGCTTGGTCGACCGCCTGCCAGCGTTGCGTAGAGGAGCCGTGCCAGCACTGCAGAAAGGTGACCTGCCAACATAGCAGGTCGACGGCGTGCCAACGCTGCAGCAGAGCGGCTGTCCAGCATTGCCCCGTAGAAGACAGCATTGCGCAGGCTCGCACGTGCGCGCAGTCGATTGGCCCGACTCGCCTCGTTGTGCATCCGTTGAATGTTGTCTGCGCCTGACGAGCCACATCGACTTTGGGATACCAGCCCGAATTCGCCTTCGCCCTCGCGACCTCGACGACGTTCGCGCTGCCTCAGCAGAACCCGTCGAGCAGGTTACCCGGTCGACCTGGACACCACCAGGTGCTCCGGTCGACCACCAGGTGCCTCTGGTCGACCACCAAGTGCCTCCTGGTCGACCACCAAGTGCCATTGGTCGACCACAGCTCCCGTCAAGCTACCCCCTGGTCGACGGACCCCTCCGTCGACCAGAACTGTCAGCGGTTGTCGCCGAGCTCCCATCGTCGACCGCTGCTCACATGTCAGGTCGACGGACTGCTCCGTCGACCTCCCTATCGAACTGCTCCTCCTGGTCGAAGGCCCACCCGTCGACCAGCCCAGTCAGCTGCAACCGTCGAGCACTCCTGGTCGACGGCAACACCACAGTGATCCCTGCAGCTCGACGAATCCCGGCGAGCAGCTCCCTCACTGTGAACAGTCAGCTGCGTCTCACGTGCACCCGACCAGGACGTTGGCGTCGCCCAAGCGAGGGCGGGGCCAACACTTCATTCATGTTAACATACGCAACGTCGACCCTTTGCGAAGATCCCCCTGCATCGAGATTTCGATAACTACGTTAATTAGCGTGAGTAAGATGAGACGCTTGGAGGCGCATTGAACTAGCAGCGCTTCGTCGTTACTTGGCATTTCTCTGCCGCTCTGAGAGCCGCACTGCCGTCATTCCTGCTCGAACAAGAAGAGTAGTAGAAACGCAGCTTACAAGCACTCGCATAGAAGCGAGAGATCCAATATCAGTGAGCCAATATTGTTCGTTCAAGCACGCGAGCTGCGGCGGACAGAGGATTTGGAGAATTTCGGTAGAGAAGTGGCGTTGCGGCCACCATACGCGCCGCCCCTCGCATTACCGTTACAAGTACCCCGGAACTAGTACGAATTCACTGCCCACTGCTGGTTTTAGAGTCCGAGGAGCTCTATATCGAGTGCAGCCAGTGAAGGACGACAGCGATTGCCTCCAGGAAAACAATCACCGAGAAGGTCGCAGAATGCAGCACGGCGCCGTTGCCGCTCACCCAGACTTGGCGTAGTGGTACCACTGAGGTGGTTGCAGGCTCTGGTAGTGAGGTGGCTTATAATGAGGTCCTTCGCGGATGGAATCAGATTTAGGTTGTCACGAGTGGATGGGGTATGACGAGCTGGCTCGGCGAACGCCTGCTGCGCCTGCTCGTTGTGATGATAGCAGCGGAGGCTGGTGGCGACATTTAGTGTCTGCTCAATTGGTGCACGAGTCGCAACGTACGCTTCCTCTGCTCCTTGCCTCCACCCCCTTCCTGCCGTCCTCCGCGCACTGCGGCTGCTCCCCGCGCGCTGCTTTTCTTCCGCGCAAAACTCTTTCTTCCGCGCGCTGCTTTTCGGCTCTTCCGCGCCGCCCTCCTCCACGTAGGCCTGTCCCTCTCCCCACGCCTTCCCCCTTCGAGCTATCTCCGCCACCTTATTTCCCCTCCCATTCAATTATCACAAGAACACCGGAGTCCCCTTGGGATAGCGCTCACTGGGGTATCCGCATGGAAACCCTTGCCCCTCACCCTTGAACCAGGGGTGGGATTTTGCACGGGCCTTTTCTTTGCGTAACTTACGCCCCTCCCCCCTTTTTCTCCGACAACCCCCTTTCCCCGACCCCACCCACGACCTCTCTACACTGTCCTGAAATTCAAGACACAAGTGCAGTTACCGTGGTGGGAAGAGCTTTCTTTTGAGTCGACTCAAAACGAGCTGACTTTTGAGTCGACTCAAAACCCGACCCCACCCACAACCTCTCTACACTGTCCTGAAATTCAAGATAAAAGTGCAGTAACCGTGGTGGGAAGAGCAAGTGCGTGTGTGCACCTGGGTTCACCACTGCCAGGAACATCGATGGGTCTGAGACATGCATTCCAGGTGAGTTTGATACGACTCGAAATACAAGTGCAGCAATCGTGATGGGATGGGAAGAGCAAGTGCACGTGTGCACCTGGGTTCACCACTGCCAGGAACATCGATGGGTCTGAGACATGCATTCCGGCGGTGAGCATGAAGATTGAATCATTGCAGTAGGTTAGGTCTCACAACCCACAATCTTCCCCTCTCTGCCCCCGCCTCTCTAGCAAGTGCACGTGTGCCCCTGGGTTCACCACTTCCAAGAATATCGACGGGTCTGAGACATGCATTTCCAGGTAAGTTTCGGATCGACTCGTAATGGTAGGTCAGGTCACGTCACACAACCCACAGTCCCCGCCTCTCTAGCAAGTGTGTGCATGCACCCGGGTTCACCACTGCTAAGAACATCGATGGATCCGAGACATGCATTCCAGGTAATTTTCTAATCGGCTCTCGACGGTAGGTTATGTCACACAACCCACAGTCCCCACCTCTCTAGCAAGCGTGCGTGTGTGCACCTGGGTTCACCAATGCCATGAACATTTGGTGGATCCAAGACATGCATTCCAGGTGAGCATGAAGAAAACGGTAGGTTAAACGACACAATCCACAATTTTTTTATTGTACAAATATCTCTCCCCCCAACTCAGCTCCCCCTTTCCCACACCATGCTGGTACACTTGTGCATCAATTAGAATATGCCAGCATTCAATCTCTCTCTCAGAGAAAAAAATAAGCACTGAACTTCCTTGGCATTTCTACCTGGCTTCCTTCAAAGTTCCCCTGTCGACGATCTTCCATTTCCCCCTTTTACCTGCTTCCCCCCCCACCCATTCCTCCCCTCTGCCAGTCCGCGTGTGCGCCATGTCAGCAGCCAACCCGTTCCAGGTTGGCACATGTCTGGATGACGGAGCGGGCGGCTACAACTGCCTGTGTCCTGCGGGGTTCGTGGCGGATGAACGACCCGATGAAACCCCCGTCTGCGTGCCAGGTAGGTACTATGTATAGCTAGGCCAGAAACCCCCCTGTGCGTGCCTGCCAGGTGACGCTAGGCCTGGATGGTAGGGAGTGAGGCTACAACTGCTTGTGTCTGCCGGGGTTCGTGGCGGACGAGCGATCCGATGAAACCCCTGTGTGCGTGCCAGGTGGGTGCTGCTCGCTTCTTCTCACTGTGCAAAACCGTACTATGTAAAGCTAGGCTGGAATTTCTCTGTGCGTGACAGGGAAAGCTAGGCCTGGATGACGCGGCGGGCGGCTACAACTGCCTGTGTCCGCCGGGCTTCGTGGCAGACGAACGGCCTAATGAAACCCCTGTCAGCGTGCCGGGTAAAACTAGGCATAAAACCCCCTCTGTCGGCTCGTTTCTTCTCCTCACCGCGCTAAATGCTACCATGTAAATAAAGCGCTGGAAAGCATGTACCCGTGCGGCTGAAACACCCACCCTTTCGCAAGACGTCCCTCGTCCTCACCTCGCCTCTCTGCCCACCACCTCTCTTTGTGCATTTGAACTGTGTCAGAATTGAACCGGCTCAAGGCATGCGTTGAGAGCATGGGTGCTCAAGGCATGTGTGATAGCATGGGTGCTCAAGGCATGTGTGAGAGCATGGTTGCTCAAGGCATGTGTGAGAGCATGGGTGCTCATGGCATGTGAGAGCATGGCTGGAGAAGACATAACCTTCTGCTTTTCGTGGTCTCTGCAATCTGTATCAACGTCTGGCTGCTTTCTCATTGTAGTGATTGAAACTGTTTTTGCTGTGCATGCAGGTGTGCGTCGCGCATGGCACTCCAGACATGCCAGCGTGCCAGGAGTTTGTGACTGTAGCGGAGGGCGACAGCTGCGACACAATAATGAGGGCTGCACGTCCGCCTCTGAGCGCACAGGATTTCTACCCGTTGAACCCAGGATCAACTGCAACGTGGGCGAGCAGATTACTGCTGGGCCAACATGTAAGAATTGCGTGTATTGTGAGGAGTATTGAGGCGAATCAAGAGTTCTACACGTTGAACCCAGGGATCAACCTCATCGTGGGAGAGCAGATGCTGCTAGGCCAACAGGTATGCTACAGGAGGGCTTCCCAGTGGCATTCTCAACCACCTTTGCTGTCTTCTTCCAGGGTGCCACTGGCATGGGTTCAGTTCTGCCACATTTCTGCTACTCATTTCTGTTACTCGTTACTGCTACTCATTACTCCTGGCCTTGTGTTGCATGCACACCAGTTACGAACACATCCTCTTCCCCAGCCTCCCTCTCGTCCTCCCTGCTTTCCACTTTTACTCTGCATATCTGGCCTTCCAGCTCTGTTCTGCCATTTGTGGCCATTTCTTTGCTGACTCATGTACTGTTTTATCAGCAAACAGCTCCTTCCACTCTTCCAACCCCATCCCCTTCCCATCATTTCCCCCCATCCCCGATTTCCCCCATTTCCCCCCATTCCACATTCTCCGTGTGGAGGGTGTGGGTGCGGTGGTGGGTAAACAATATTTGAGCCAACTCTTTCCTGTCCCCCATCCCACTTTCTCTGTGTGCAGGTGTGTGTGCGTGGTGGGAAATCAAGCTTGCTACTCGGAGCTACTCGGTGTGTAACAAACCTGCAGTACACGGTAGTGACGGGAGACACATGTGCTCGCACCATTGCTCTATACTTCAAGAGCTCATCACAATTATTGGCTCAATACAACACGGGTTATGTGTGTACAAACAGCCGCTTGTACAAGGGCATGCGCCTGTGCAAGCACCTTAAAATTATCTGCAATACTTTTGTACCAAACAAATGTCAAGTAGTGCACTTATAGTTGGCTCCAAACATAACTGAATGCCTCACATTAGATTCGATGTATG